GGACGAGCAGTTTTGGCAACAAGGCGGGCCCCGCTGCCGGATCCTGCGCTGTTTGTAAAAATACGCACGCAATAATTCGACGGCTCGCGACCGCTCGGCGCCGCCGCCATCCGACCGCCCTGTCTCCGGCGCGCGAAACGGCGGAGAAGCGCCGAGCGAACGGGCGCCTGAAATTCATGTTGCAGGGTTGTAGGCTTTGCTCAGACATCGGAAAGTAATATTTTATTTTGTCAATACTTGATGTTATATTACGTATTTTCCTCATAGGCATCTTCATTTCGTATGCGATTCGTGGAGATTAGGTTTGCGGCCACTTCGATTTTATGATTTCTTTACATGTTCAGATATAATTTTGCATCGTTTGAAAATTCTTTTCACTTGCAACTGAAAAAATATACCGCTGCATTCTTAAACACAATACAATGACGAACAGCGTAGATAATATTTGAACAGTCTTGATAAAACAATATGAATTGTTTTGGGGTGAAGGGGCTCGGAGATGGTGAAAACGGTTTTCCACTAGCCAATGCCTGGGAGGTCCTGAGGAAATGCGATGCCTTGGTCAGTAGATCCATGGGACTCCTTATTTCAAACAAAAGTTCCACCCACTCACTCATTCTAATAAATAAACAAAATTCATTTTTACATGCAAAAGGAATGGCTTATTGCAGGTAATTTGAATTAGAAGTAAATACAGTTAATTTATTTATACGTTATAACGATTATTATTATTATTATTATTATTATTATTATCATTATCATTGTCTCAGAGGTTTCCTCTGGTGTTTACTCTGTGGGAGATCATACATATCTTGACCGACGCTAGTGCTAATGTAACACAGTCCAAGAGTTCAAAATGTTTCCAGAATCACAGATTTTTGGGCAGTAGAAAGTACCAAGGTCTAGGCTGTTTCAAAATAACTCTTCCAATTTTGTTTACCAAACCAGCTGTTGTAATTACTAGGGGGATTATTTCCACTGAATTTATTTATATTCTATTGCAAGCGTAGTTTATTTAGTTATTTTTTTCAGATTCTGCTTTATTAATATTGTGATCAGCCGGATGAGTGACATCAATTGAAATTGCATTTTTTCTCTTTTTCTGTGCAGTGTAATGTCAGGTCTATTAACGGCAATGCGTATATTGGAATATCGTAGAATAGTTTGTAATGTTTGTTTTCCATTGTAGGAGTAGCCTTATGGGCAACTCTGTCTTAGAGAAGTCTGAGTTTTATTGCTAAGACCTGGTGAACAGTGCTAGTAGGGATATTATGACGAAGATACTCTGTATTGCTCACATTTGAACATGTTATAAGATATTCAATCGTTTCTGATGTTTGGTGGCATGTCCTGCATTCATCTTGTATATATTGATTTTCTATGTACTTGTAGTTATTCGTGGTAAAGACTTGGTCTTTACACAGAGTAGATAAAATCTTCAGTTTCTCCATACAGAAATCCATCTATGTGTCAACGCGTCTATGCGTCTTTATCAGCAATGCCAAGAGAATGGAGAATTATTATTATTATTATTATTATTATTATTATTATTATTATAAAGCTCGGTAGAATCTGTTTTTGGACCAATGGCCTTCTGCTACCGGGAGGACTGTAAAAGAACTTTCGAACATGTGATAAGTAATGTAACAAAATTCTTAGTTTTTGTGAAACGTAGTTACGTAATTAGAAAGATCAGAGGCTGAGATGTGCATTTTGAGTATTCACACTTCTCTCGAAAATTAATTATAGAAATCGAATTGTTACGTGTTTGAAATTGTTTCGTTCGCATTTGAAAAGCTCAAAACAATCGTATTTCTTTACTTTAACTAGTTATCACATATCAAATCGACATTTTCACGATGCCAAGTTTGCTTTTAGCTGGAAGTGAAGCAGGTATTATTAGAACGCTCGAGGCAGAAGTGAATGATGCAAATCCAACAGGAATGTCGTCATCCCTACAGACTGTAAAGAGGAGTGGAAACAGCGTAAATGAAAGCAGGCAGGATCCCAGATTATTGATTTCGAGAAAAGTGATGACGCAATGTATCCCTATGCTAGTGCATCGGCTGAGGGATTGTGAAACTGAGCAGGCATAATGAGTTTCAGCCCTTTTCGCTTACCGCAGGGTATTGCACGCATTCTTCCCTTTGTTTAATGGTCTTTTCCACCTTGCATGTTGCTCCGACAATAATCGTGTGCGCGCTTTCTTTCTCTCACGCTGCATTAAATGGATTTAATATTTTTAATTACAGGAAACGGATATCGCTTTTTGTAAAAAGAAACACATGATGTAGCAATTAATGCCACGTTATATATGCATTTTAGAATTAGCCATTTTCAAAGCACTCAAGGGCTTTGTAAAACTTTCCGTTTAAATCATCAAGTTTTAATCATGAAACGTAATATTTTAGTGATATATTTTCGTAAGCCGTAACTATCGTTATATATGGTTATGGGGCCGATAAATTTTGTCCCTGTTATTTGTTCATCCTAATGGAACAGGATTGCTGCGTTCTTTGTAGAAGAGTACCTGCTCTAATTTTCCATTACGACTTTCTGTAACAAGAGAGGAAAATCGATTAACGTTGCTGAGCCGAGGGGCCGAAAGTCGATTCTCGCTCGCTGCCCTCGCTGTAGGGAAATTCCAGTGATATCATCTCCACAGCGCCGATCTGCGGAAAGCTGCGGGAAAAACCTTGGAATCACGCAATTCCGAACCTTATTTCTCTCATGCAACGCTTATTGGATGTTGTCCCTTGGGAGTGTTCGGTTGAGCGCGCGCGTGGCGATTTTGTTTCCCGTCGTGTGTTCTATCATTCGTGGCGTTTCACATTTTAGTTAATGCATTTCCGTAGTGCGAGTACTTCCAAGAAGGGCAAGCGATGCGTGAGTAACCCCGTTTGTGCGGGCGGCTCACAGAAGTAGTGTCCCCGCTAATATCTGTAGTGTGCAGTCACAGCTTTGTGTAGCGATGGGGATTCTTTGACCACACAAACGTACATAACGTGCGTTTTACACATCGGAAAGTCCGAAACCTGCGCGCTGCGTAATATAATCAATTGGTTTAACCGGAGCCTGTGATTCATAGCGTTTTCCGTTGGGGCTATTTCAGCCAGAAATCGTTGACAAGAATCGTGATCAAACCCGACGCGACCGTATCGAGAGCGGAACCATTGGCTAGGATTAATTCCTGTCGGCGCATTAAAGGCCGAGCAACCCGCCCACTGGCCGGGATTTGAATTCGATTTTCGGCTTACTTTTGGTGTGTGTAATATCATAAACCAACCTCCGGGGCCGCTGAATTGGTCTCTCTTGGTTCACTTCCGTTACCGTTCCAGAGTCGGCGAGGTGAAACTCAATGGAGCGTTGGAGATGGGCTTTTGAAGAACGGAAAAATTACTTTGCAGGGCCGACATTTTTAGGCTATTAAAACGTTTCTGCTCAGTGTGGTATTTTAAAAATATCCGCTTTAATTTTACAAGTACTGGACAATTGCGGAAGTATTAAATTCCAAATAGAATTACACTAGCCTTTTAGAGGCGAAATATAGAAAAGGTCCTCTGAAACGTTCTTGACATGTACTCTGCGACTATCGTCGTTAGGAAGCGTATTTTTTTAAAAAATGTAGTGACTTTTGTGTTTCCCGCTACCTATTTAGAAGTGAATATCGACATTTGTGAGAAAACATTGGCTGTCAGTCTGTGATCATCGCGTTTCCCTGTCACTGATAATCGTGACGGTACATAGTGGCTACCGCCTGGAATGCAGTATGCGGATATGTGTATTACTAATTTCCAATGCGCGCAGATATTGCAAGAAAATTATTAATCCTCCTGCTACGTAGGTAGTGATTAGGGTGTTGTTAATTATCTAGGTACTCGGGGGAAGCTATTGTTAGTACTATTGATTTATCTATATTAGTACCATCCAATGCTCGATGAAATTGAGCATTCGCAGCTTCTTCTCACGTGAAAGGTGTCGATGGTTTTTTATATTTCTAGGAACTCTGGAAATATTCCCTAATATCTATCTATATTATTCTATTTGCGCGTAGATATTGAGATATCACTATGCAGCCTTCAGGTATGTGGAAGGTGTCGTTAGATGCCCACGAAACCAGGTGATATCCAAAAATAAAGAAACTGTTTCGGTTTTGATTGAAACTAGAAATATTTGATTGTACTATTTGATTGAATGTTTGATTTGATTTGATTGAATATTTGATTGTACGTCGCGGACAGGATTCTAGAAAAAGGCCATCTGCCCTTAAGTACTTGCTATTCAAATATTACGTTATGGATCAGCGGATTTTTTTATAATCGCGAAGACTGTTACTGTTAAAATATTTCATTTATTGCAGTCTTATATGTGAATATTTTATTAGTAGTTCTGAAATAGAGTGGGGGTGATTGTTTGCGATTGAGCCATTTGTGTGGGTTTGTTCTGCGTTGTTGCGGCAATCCAAACGTTTATCTATTTCTCTTAATGATTTTGAAATTGCGTGTAAGTATCGCTCAATAAGCATATCATTTTCACAGGCAAAAAGCTGTAACGTCATTATTAATTAATCGCCGCCTTGCGTCTTTGTCCAGGATACTGAAATTGTAAC